GAGAGAGACCGAGAGAGCACTTGAGCTCTACCCTCCTTTGGCCTTTTTTCCGCTGGCACGCTTTTTGCTCATTTTTTGGCGTCAATGAACAGTTTTAACATATTAGCAAAGTTTCTTAAAGTACACAAAAATATGTTTGATGTGAGAAACGAATGGTGGAATGGAGTGGGAATGGAATGGGGGTGCGAGAGCGAGAGCGAACGGGAACGGGAACGGGAACGAAGGAAGAAACGACAACAAGTGCAAAGGCAAACGAAACGCTGCGAGTACTCGTACTCACATGTAAGAAGCCAGAGCGAGGGCTTCCAAGTGGCATAATACTCGTATGTAGCTCTTGCGAGTGGCGTGGCTTTAAGAGACGAAAACCAAGACCACGAACATTGAAACCATTAACAGACCTACAAGTAATCTTGAATGCATCGAAGCATTGCACTATTATCGTAGTCAGTACTGTTTTACCTACATATGTACATGGAAGTGTGGCAGTATACCAGTGTACCGTAATACCATTGTTATACTTACTTATGCCTCATTTATGGTATCATATAAACCAAGACCTGTCTTCCAATCGTATGAACCTATCTAGCCGAACAAATAAGTCTATATTCAAATAGGAGGCCGAAATTATACTAGCCGAAAAATATGTTTTATCAATCCAAAAATGCTCGCAAATAAATAATCGAGCTCAGTCATCCTCTCAAGTATGTGTCGTAAAATTCGCTGATCTCCCGGACCAGTCGATTGAGCTGCGCGTTAAGGGCTAAATGCGCCATGGCAGTCGCCGCGGTGTTTGGCTGCTGGCTAAGAGACAGCTTCATGTCGACCGTAATTCTAAACTCCCTCAGGAGGTTAAAATAGGCGGTAATGCGTTGTTGGAGGGTCCCCGGGCCTTGTCCATCCCCATCTACAAGATGCTCCACAGAATCTGTGACCTCTTGCAGAACCGCATCCAGGCGAAGAGTCAAAAAATTTACTTCTAGGATTGGTGGTTCTTCGTTCGGGATCGGGTCCTGGTCCTGCTGTTCCTCCTGGTCCTCCGGGTACCAGACCAATGGCACGTCGTCGCGTACAAATGGTGGCATTTCTCTCGGTGGGTTAAATTCCCAAGCTAACTTAATTCAAAATGTTATACCACAATGACGTATGGGAAAATTTTTAATTTTCAAAATTTTTTGAAAAACGAGACGTGCTCTTTCCACATGAACGAAATGTGGAATGATTAAAACTTTGTTGGAACTTCAGCTGAAAGCTGAAATCGTAAAAGCATGGCCTACCAAGTGCCACTATTTACAGACTATTCAAGACTCGTAGGGAACTGAACAATGTTGCTTCACTTACTCGTATGCTAAGCTCAGAATTACCCTTAAACACACCTGAAGCTATCCCTTACCTAAGCCCAAATAATACCTCACCACTTAAGGTATAAGTATAGGTGCAAAGTTTTTTGGTCTTCCTTCTACAGCACTGCATAATTGCTTCCTATTGCGACTGAAAATCTTCCCATTAAATTCCTTTTAAAGCTCTAGTGGGAACCAATTGGCTTTCCCGTTCCGCTCGCGAATAGTTCTACTTACAAATCAGCCCAATAAAAACAATTTTCGATATTAAATTATCATTTCGCCCAACTTCCACTTCCCCTCCTTCGTGGATTAACTTCACTACTACTCTAATCTCCGCCCCTGCACAATATTCCGAACCCCTCTGCACCACACACACATACGCATACGCATACAACTACAGTGAATACTCGTACAACAAAAGGATGTCGTGTCGTGCCGCGTCGCTTAATCATGTCAATGATTTATAACGCTTTCAAGGACCGAACCAAACTCAAACTTGTCGACGCCAACTCCCCATCTCATTCTTTCGGCATATCTCTCTCTTTCTCTCTATTTGTCTGTCTCTCCGGCTAAGCCTAAGGTGTGCGGTGCTGAGAGAGGGAATGACTTGCCAGACAAAAGCATAGTAACTAGCTTAGACAGGGGGGGGGGGAACATAAGTTTTGCAGCTCCTTGTATGCCGAACGATGGGGGGAAATATATCTCACGAAAAATGATTTGGCTCATTATCAACAGGAGTGCAGAGGGAAAGAGAATGCTCTGTGCTCGATATTCCGACTAAAAAATACCCTCGAATTGGGAAGTACCCCTTAAAATGAATCCAAACTAAATGAAAATCCCTTATGTATGTAAAATGTACCGACGCCTCAAAAATAAACTGAACTTTCAACCTAAAAATGTTCGATATGGCATGTGTTTTGTCTATCTGAGCAGGCATCGCCCTCTTACTCTGGTTAATACAGGGTACACTTATATATATATAAATAAGAAGAGAAAGAGATGAAGAGATAGAGAAAGAGAAAGGGGGGGGGGGGTCAAATATACACAGAAAGAAGCAGAGATACCGCGAAGGAGTGAGAGCCATCGAACAAAGGCATAAATCAACAACAAAAACAGAAAAAATGATTTATAATTCGCTTACTTCTCCTTCTTCAGCTGTCCTTTTCCCTCTAACTATCCGCCTCTCTCTCTCTATCATATGGCATGGATGTTGGAGGGGGGCGGAGAGTTTGGTATGATTGCTTCTAATAAGTAAAGTGGTATAATGACAAGGATGCCGGAAGGGGGCAGCACCGTAATCATTCCCCGGATCCATACGAATACGTGTACGAGCACTTCATACTATACAAAGGTGTCCTGTGTGCATGCCCACCAATAATAAAGTAATCAAAGTGATATGGTGTTGATGCCACAGCCAGCCATGAGGGGCATGATGCCATAGGGTTGGGCTGTTCGGCGGTTGGGATGGATGAAAGGAGGCCAGCACAGTATGCTGTTATTGTTGCCACATGTCCTTCCTTGAGATTATGGCATTAAGACATGGGGCAATCGAATTATGGTCCTGGCCTGCAAATGAAATTGAATAACGAACGATTTCAGCTAGAAAGAGAATAGTGGGTGGCAAAAGGAAGCGAATTTTGGGTGCCAGTAAGAACGGGCTGGCGGGAGGGGAACAGCTTCGAGTGGGAACTGCGAAAGAATCGAGAACAAATGATATGGTAGGAGTTTACATATAAGAATATATATAAGACTGCCAAAGGAAGGAGGCCGTCTTTGTAGAGAGAGCACCGAAATGTAACTCAAATGTGCCGATCGCAGCAATATCTTGACCCTGAGAATTCCGTCTGAACCAAAGACACTCGTTCAGGCATAAACAAATTCATTCCATTCATTCATATTCTCCACTCCTTGTAGAATCATTGTCTTTGAGTGATTCCGGGAGGTTTCTTCAACATGTGTTTTCTGTCTGCTCTGCTAAACCAGAAAACCCCATAAATAGTTGCTTAATTACCTTCTCAAGTGCCAAGTGCACTCACCTGCTGTCCCTTCTGCTCTCTCCCCCGTAACGGAGCACAAAAAACTTCCACAGAAGAAACACCGAGCACACACATACACACACGCAAAAAAGAGGAGGAAGCGGAAGTAGAGTTGCAGAAGACAAAGTATAAAACATATGCCCAAACACCGATTGCAATTAATCTTGTGCATGTTGCGGCGCCAGTCCCGCTCCTGCTCGACTCCACTGTTCCTCTGGAGGTAAACTGTATTGGGAAACAACAAACAGAACAGAAACTGTGGGGGGTTTTTTTTCGCTTGCCAGGGTTGCCACCTACAGCGGCAGAGACAGCGGCAGAGGCGCGATATCGTTGTGTTGCGTGGGTGTGGGTGTGCTGATCCTTTGTTGGCAAAGCAAACTTTGCCGAATACTTTGAGGGGCCTCCTCTAGAATCTTGCGTGTTTGTTTATATATGTGTGTGTGTGTGTGGGTGCTATAGACATTTGTGAGGTATCCCTTAAATACCAATTTATGGCACAAGCAGATAAAGTCCCAAATCTGCACTTAATCTTTTGCATTGTTTAATTTCGACTCATTGAGTTAGGCCACCCCCCCACGCTCCGACACTCTATGAATGTGCTTGTGTGTTCGTGGGCTTGTGGGCGTGTCTGTATGAATGGGCATTGTTCAAAGGCTCTCGCGCGCTTCTGGCCAGCAATTGCTTTGGGTGGGGTGCGGTGGGGGGCCGGCGAGGGGCAGGCGCACTTAAGTTGCCTGGGAAATAAATCGTAGTCGACGTCTACAATGTGCCATGGACTAAAGGGGGGGAGTGGTTGGTGTTTTCTGTGGGTGGGGGACCGGCACGATAGAGAGTGTGGAATATTCGATGCTTCATTGCATCCACAGCAACAGGCGCAACAGTCAACGTCGTCATCGTCCTTCTCATCCTCAATTTTGTGGTTGTGGCACTGGCAGTGGGGAGGGTGGTGCTTGGTTTTTGGGTTTTGGGTCTTGGTCTAAAGCAAGTTGTTTGCTAGTTAAAACTTGCAACTTGCGCGTTATTTCCTGCCACACACACACCGACACACACACATACATAGACGCAAACATAGAGTGGAAGCCCCCTTCCTGCAACCGCAATGCCCTGCGTACTTAAGGTGTGAACGCAAAAGCTTGACTCATAAAATATTGAAAAAGCCGCAAAAACTTTGCACCAAAAAAGCTCCAGCTCCATAAACACACGCACACATAGTAGATTGCGCAAAGGAGCATCTGAAGGAGGGAGGAGTCTCCGAATGGTGGAAGAAATTTGCGGCAGGATGTCGGAACCCCAAATTGAACGGTTAAGTGGCAAGCAGCAAAAGTTTTTTCACCTGACTTGACTTTACCGCCCTTACCCTTACTTTGCTTGAACCGATTACAGAACACGGATCCTGTGGGATAATATGGCTATTATGTTGATTCAACCATGTAAAGAGGTTCTATTAGCACATATTCTAGTACCCTAAAAGTTGTTAAAAATAGGAATCGAAAGACACTACTCAAAAATTGAATCTTTATCTGCAGCTCAAATTCGAAACTTTTGAAACCCTTTTTCCCCAGTAGCCTCAGACTTTATACAGACTTCACTTGGGAAATTCCTTGTCGATTGTTATATTACTTTCTGTTTGGCATTACTGGGGTCGTCCGGCCATGTCGAGCGATGCCATGGCCTTCCTGGCATTCAGCATGCACTGCTTCAAGATCATCATCATCTACTGCGTCTGTGTGAACATGCTGGAGCATTTTCTGCAGCGTCTCAACCAGCAATGAGGAAGAACACACCATGCCAAAAAATATAGTCTGAGACAGAGTCAGAGCAAAGAAGCTCCCTTTCTAGCTCCGTTCTGTCCTTTGTGTTTGGGTCTTCTGCTTTCCATCCATTCTGCTTTTCCAAAAGTCGGAGTCAAGATGGCCAAATTATTTGCATTCAAGCTGAAAATCGATGCGATTTACGCAAATTACATACAATTTTTAATAGGTTTTTCATCAGGCATAAATTACGAGTACATCGAGCGAGAAGCATGAAACGGAAACGGAAAATGGAATACGGAAATTTAAATTACCTGCAACGTAATTACACAAAAGAATATGCCAATAAAAATGACTTATGTATCAATTTCCTTTACGACACGGAGTCCCAGACAGAATGGAATCGGCACGGCCCTGCAGGAGGAGGAGCGGGAGAGGCAGGGGGATGAGGATGAGGACTGGAGGCTGATTCTGGGGGCTTCTCCGCATGATGATGATGATGATGATAATAATAAAAGGCAACGTAGCACAAAGCGAACAATTTTCAATTTTATTTTTATTGCCTTATTGTGTATCAAATATTTACAATTATTTGCCCCGGAGCCCATGAAAATGAGCAGACAGACACGGCCCCCGCACGTCGAGGGCGATGCCACTGCCACGGGACACAGGCCACGGGACATGGGACACGGGCGGGAAGCACTTTCGCTGGGTGTATGCAGCGCTGATAAATTCAAATAAATTCCGCGCGCGGCATGCGCTGCAGTGTAACCAAGGTGAAAATGATGAGAGTCCTCCCTAACCCACACCCACACCCACACCCCCCACTCGTCCCCCATTTGACGTGGCGTGGAGCGAACCAAACTACAGACGGGGAAAGTTTTTCGATCGAAAAGCGCGAAGGAAATTGCATGGCTGCCCTCTCCATTGCTCCCTCTCTGTCGTGGCATTAAAATTTTATTTTAATGTCATCGAGACGTTGATTTACAGCCTCTGTGTGCCTCTCTTTCAATCCCCTCCGTCTGTCTCTTTCTGTCTGTGTGTGCGGCAGGCAAAATATAATTTTAATAATATTTTATTGCTTCGAAAAGTGGTAATAGCGCGTAAAATGCCTAGGCACAAACCGAAGTACGGGGCATGAGCAGCCAGAAGGCAGTGAAGACAGACCAGTAGAAGTCTATCGTGTCGCACCACTCAATCCGCAACTGTAGTGGCATTCCAATTGAATGCCACCAATCCAGAATGGGGATGTACAAAGAGCATCTACACATGTTCATGCCCCGATGATGCCAAGCCATTGATACATTCAATTCGAACATAAGAAATTATTTGGAATTCTTAGTGAATTTCCTGTTAAGCTTTTAATATCAATTTTCGGCAAAAAGATAGCCTGAAAAGCGGGAAACCATCTAATGCCCAGGCCCTTGCCAGGGGCCAGGCCATTCCGAATTGGGACAGGCAGCTGCAGACAGGTGGGGGTTCTATCAATTGGAAACACATTTGCAGTTAGCTTGCCGTCTTTCGACCGGCTCACTGCCTGTCTGTCCTGCTGTCCTGCTTCATTTAGCAACAATTATAATGGTTTCCACTTCTGGCATTACTTTTTACGGCTGTCTTCTGTCTGTTTCTTCTGCCGCTGCTTGCTGCCTGCTGCCATTCGAGGCAGGAATCTGTTCTCGGGACCATCGAAGAGCTAGTAGTAAAACTTAATGAAATGAAACCCTACAAATGGAACAGAAAGTAAGGTAAATGAAAGAGACGAGAGAGAGAGGTAGTGCCATGGCCAGTGACATCGGAGATTGGCTTTCCACTGGCCGGAAAAATTATCCCAGATTCGCCTGGCATTTTTCGGCTTTTCCCGAATCTATTTTAAGTAATATTTATGCGCGGCTCTTTCCATTTTTTTTTTGTTTGCTCCTCACCAATTAATTTTTATTTATGTCTCTCTCTTGTTTTTTTTTTTTTTTTGGTTCATTGTTGGTTTGCTTTTCCCTTATCAAACAAACAGTTGGCAAAATGATAAATGCCCTTCAGCTAACCCCCTCTCCATGCGCCCACCATCAGCGAGCATTTGGTAATTTAATATTTTTCATTTTTTCCAAAGTTTTCTGTATGGGGGAAATGATATTTCACCGCAGAGTGTGGGTGGGAAGCTTCTAAAAAATGACAATTTTTAATTATCAAATGCGTTTAATGATAAAAATTGTCTAAGCGGGTGATATGGGGGTGTGACTGGCCACTTTCCCAGCCCCCTTCCCGGTCTCTGGTCTTGGCTTTTAATTTATGATTTATTTGTGTGGGTGGCGGCGCCCATAATAATTAATATTGCACACAAGAAAGTGGCAGAAAAAATACTACCACGAACCTAAGACTGGAAGGAGCTGTAGCTGTCGCTGGAGCTGAGGCTGGAGGCAACAACATGAGCACAGGCGTCGAAAGCAATCCCCCAGAGGGGGATTCTCATAAATCTTGGAGGAGAGCGAGACCGGCCCAGTGGCGGATGGGGACGGGGCGACAGTAAGTGCAATGTCATTGAGGCGCGAATAGAAAAGGGAATACCCGTGCCCATACGTACATGCATAAGAAAAGAAAAGGCCCACACTCGCGCAGACACCCCCTGTGTGTGTGATTCGTAGCCCTGCGCCATCTTGAGCCCAGCGCAAAGAAGAAAAAATTAAAAGTATTTCTCGAATTATTGTTAATGATGATTAAAAATATGTGTACCTGCGCCCAAGGTAAAAAGCAAAGCAAAGAGCTAAGAAATAATGGGGATGAAGCATGGTACATGGCATAATGTGGCATGGAATGGTATACGTACTCATACGTGAGTATGTACGCATGTCCCCAAAGAAAACCAGAGTGGATTCGAGCTCACTTGACTTTGACTTTACGTGCAGCTCCAACTTCAATTCGTTGAAGTCGAAAGTTGCTTCTTCCTATGCCGAACGGTGAAGCCAAGGACTAAGTTCATAGCATAACATCATCATACATTATCCGAATAAGTGATTCAGTTTGACCATTATCTCTAAGCTTAATCGGAAATGCAAGAGCTGTGCAATGGCTATATTGGCAAGTCCCAGCCCCTTGCTATATGTTTAGAATACTCTCCAAATGTGCGATCTCCACTCTCCAATCGAAATGGGCTATACGCACAATTGTGGGGAGAGAACCAGGAGAAAGGAACTAGGGAAAAAGAGCACAGGGTTGACTGCGCCGTGTGGCGGCACTCGATAACATAATTATCTGTCATAATCAGTAGGCGTTGAAATGTGCAATTCAAAGTGCAATTTAATGCGCGCCAGCAGCTAAAAACAACAGATATAGATACAGCCATGGCTTTACAGATACAAATACAGATACAGATACAGATACAGATACAGATACGACTGCGGAGATCCCAGCAGAGGGAGATGCACAAAAGCGCAAGGGCGTAGCTGCAGCGGCCACGGTTTCCAGGGGGAGGCGAGTGCATCAGAGTGGGTGGATGAATCAGAGGCATAGTCAAACACTGTAGAAGGGGGTACAGTTTTTATTCAGGGCAATTATCTGCCCAATGCTGAGCTAACATTGAATAACATGAAAATAATATTGGAATTACACAAAAATTGATTTTTTGGTATATTACATATAATTAAATAATCAATTGCATTGATTCACCCCAGCCAAAAGTTGGATGCATTAAAAACTATATAAAAAGACAGTTCATGTAAAATCCCACAAGGATGAGTATTTTCTAATTTGTACTCAATTCATTCATGCCAGCTAACATTAGAGGGTCTTGCGATCCCCCACATAAAGTAATGGGCCCCCTTTGACTTAAGCCCCTGCCCATAGGTGGTGGCAATCGTCTAAAGCATTTCGGTGATTGTGTGTCAGTTGGAGTTTTGGAAAATTTGCATCGGATTATTGCAATAAACATAATTATGCGCGCTGCATATGATTTTTCAATTAAACACATGCAACCCGCTGCTGCTACACGAAGGGGGGCGTCGCACACTGGGAGGGCTGCTGCGACAACGATGCACGTAAAAGGGTTAACGAGTAGGTCTTTTGGGGGGCGTACTCGTACGCGTACCGGGGGGATACGGGGATGACATGACCAACCAATTGCCGCTCGTTGCGGGTGTTTGTAATGCATATTTGTTAATTAAGTGTCGCATGTGTATGTCCCCCTCTCTCCCTCTCTCCCTCTCTCTCTCTCTATGCCACCGCGAGACGCCTCTGTCTGCCTCTGCCTGCCAGCGTGTGTGCAATGGTAACGGTGCTTAAGTGGAATCAATGGATCGTAATGCAGAGATAATCATTTTTAGCAAAAAACCTACGCGCGGAAGATGAGAACGGGTGGAGAGTAGAGGGATATCATTAAATTCGCTAGAAGGACCGACCGATGATGATGGGCGTTGCCAACGTGCGGTCCTGCCAACCTGCTTTGTCAATGACAAATGCCACAAACAGCAGGATGCTAGGATAGCACGATGGCTGGATAGCAGGCTGGTTGGCATTCCTAGAGGGGAGTGGGACAAATTGCAATTAGATGAGGTGTTGGAGCAGAAATTTTGTGGCTCGATTTTATTTGTCCCTGTCATTTCAAGCATACGAGTGCTGCACTTGACTGTCGAAACCCCCTGTCGTACCCTCGAACCACCAATGCAGCTGCTGGAGTCGGGTAATTGTCTTTGAAAGCGATATCATTATATTTTGCGGTCCGTGATTAATAAACATACAAAAAAAACGTATACTATTCATAATGAACATTACGAACTAAGGGTACAGCATGGAAGAACGCTAGTCGTGTCGAATGGATCCACCCAAAAACCCGAAAAAACCACACACAATAAAAAATTAAAGAACGAAAGGGTGTGTCGGATCAGGTCAGCGTAACAATGGCTATGAGGCCGGCCACGCCGAGATCCTTGTCCAGAAGGGTCAGCTCGAGTAAGTAGTCCCCCTTGGGGGCATCATCGGGCAGGAACTCGGTCTCCAGCTCGTAGTTGTCGATCTTGTACTGGCCCTTTGGGAAGGGGCAGTCACCCTGCTCGGGCATGTTGGAGGACTTTTGCAGATACGGATAGGTGTCCTCGTCCTCGTTGATGAACTGGCAGAAGGGCTTCTTCACGTTCATCACCAGGGGACCCTTCTGGCCGGCATTCGAGTCGTAGACGAACACCCGCAGCATTATCTGGGTGGAATTTTCAGGAGGAAGATGAGCGACCATTTCGTAGACTATTCGGATGACACCACTCCACTCACCCCTTGCTCGTCGCCCATGTTCAGCTTGAACTCAAAGTCGCCGGCGAGGGCGAACTTGTTGCGTGCCACCTTCTTCATGCGCAGCGTGCCCCAGTCGACCCATTTGCCATCGGTCTCGTAGTCCTTGTTCTGATCAAACGAGTTGAGTTCGACGTTGTAGGGCTTTTCAGCGCGGCAAACGTGGATCGCCAGGAGCAGCGCGAACGGCCACAGACTGCAGAAGCGCTTCATTTTTCTCGTACCACTGATCCACTGAGCTCCAGTACATCGCTCATATATACATATCAGTGGGTATATTAGGGCTCCCTCATACGCTATCTATCACGCCAGATCGCTGTTCGAACATGCCAATGGATCGAAATTAGTTTTCATGTTTGTTCCGTTCCCACATAGTGTTCACAATGTCAGACATGCAGTGTGCAGCGATTCAGGGACAAAGTTATCGTTAAATTGAAGGTGGTTCTAGTTATCAAACATTCGGTGATGATCATAATAAGTCATGGATTAATGATAGATTTTACTTCAGGCTTTGTTCACCGCTAGATGCTCTCTCTCTCTACAATCACAAATCTCTAAGTTCTTTAATTTCATGCAAAGTATCCCTTAGTTCTGGAGAACAATTTGCTTCATTCATACTAGTTCCTCCCATCCATTACACTTCGTATTCTAATCTCATTTCTGTTCAATTTGATTCAAAATTCCCCTCCATCACCCCCTGCTCCAACGCACAATCAATCCCTATTTTGCTCCCCTATTCCTTCCGCTGGCATCTTAACTTTTCTGTTGAAATTCTGCAAATATTTTATGCCAACTAATCTCTTAACACTCTATTGAGACATGTAAACTTTTAATAGCATTTGCTGTACTCTGCCAAAGTCTGTTCGAATGGATGGTAGAGAAGAGATTGGGGAAATTCGGTGGGTTGGTGCGGTCTGGTCTGGGCCCTTGTTTTATAGCCTGCAGCAGTTTTCGTGTTTGAACATCAAAAGTAATAAATTCATCGAACCATCGCCATCGCCGGGCCAGAAATGTGCCTCGCCGACGCGGCCGTCTTCGAAGGACTGTCGGGCAGGGCGGCAGGTGGCAGTTTGATTTTGTTGTTTTAGGTCGCGTCTCTGGCGCTGCTTTCAGGTTTCACCGTTGCCGTTTCTGTTGCTCAATAACTTCCTGCCCGGAGTACTGTACTTGCAGAGCAAAGGAGAATGGAGGAGCTCCCATTGCCTCTCGACGGGCCCGGCTTCGGCCTGGCCGTTAATTTCCATCGTTCTGCCTCGTTGTTTGCTGTTGTTTCTGTCTTCAGTTTGTTGCTGCAAAGTTATTTAAGTAACTGTCTTGACTTGTTTCTTGTCCCTGCATTGATTGCCCCTCAGTCCACAGTCCTCAGTCCTTAGTTGGAGTTTTTGGGTTCGGTTTTGGTTGGATTGGAGTCGAGTAGAGTCCCCCATAAATTCCATTTCGCCCGAAACAGAAGTTAAATGTCTCTGAAAGTTTTGTGCAAGTATTTCCAGCCTTATGTTATTTATGGGTTTCTAATCGAAACGCTGCTCTGTGGCTAGTTGGCACTAGTTGGCCGCACAGCGGAACTATTTCAGTGCGAACATTAGTGGTGGAAACTGGCCAATTATACTTGCTACCCAAGGAATGCAGTGGCCTCACCCCAACAACATCAGCATTGATAGCCGGGTGGATATATCCATGTCTAGAAACTGATTATTGAGTTCCGACTTGCTGATGCATATGTATATTCAATGGGTTAGCTTAAACTAATCCAAACTGATTGACTGGAATTGATTGGAATGAGAATGCTGTGGATATTTCTCAAGGAAAAACGCAACATAATTTTTTTCGAAACTTTTCATATGACATTGAGCTTCCAAGAAAGTGCCACAATTTACACTTGATTTTGAATTTATCTACAAAATGAATATATTTAATTAAAGCAATAATTACTCGCATATACGCGGACAGTGCCTACTGGTAGGGCCCTACCCTACCACCTAACAATTTGCCTCAAATGAGAGTCACGTGACAAAATACACGGCACATCATTTAAAAGAAGAAAAAAACAAAAACCGAAAGAAAAAGCAAAAAAAAAAAAAAAAATAAACAAAAAAAAAAGAGTCCCAGGCGACGTTGTGTCTTTATGAAGACACCCCTTTAGAGGGAGGGCAGAGCTGAAAGAATTGCAGCGAAATTAAAATAAAATAAAATGTACGTTGAATTAAAAAGAAGGCAGCCAAAGCAACAAGAGACAACAGCAATTGCTGCAGAGTGCTGAAGAATGTTGGGTATTAGGAGAGAGTATCGACTATTTGATGACGTGACGATGAGCAGCAGAATCGAAGCTACCTGCAAAGCTGGATCTATGGTATTATGTTCCTCTGTTGTTGCACTCAGAAATATATTGTTTAAATTTGAATAATCATTAAAAGTACAAGAGGCATGCTGCTTGAATATATCAATGTATGTCCTATCACTGCATCTATTCATCATTTTAATGGATATACCTTGTCTATTCTCTATTCCTCTGAGCCTCTGGAACAAATGTATTCCAGCCAGCCTAATCTACCCCATTCGCTAAATCAACGCTTACAGGGTAGCTGATAAGCGGAAAACGTGCAAAGAGTGGCAGGAGTGGGCAAGAGCAGGACGAGTCGTGACTTCATTTGCTTGACACTTGGCTGTGGAAAGTAGCAGAGGAGCAGAGCGGGACTGTGGCGTCAAGTGTGTGCCACAAAGGAACGGCAATAAGAGAGACAGCAGCAGTAGAAGAGAAGGCGAAAGCCAGAGATAGGGAGAGAGAGAAGCCAGGGTAGGTGGGTGTGAAAAGAAAAGGCTGCAAACGATTCCTAATTGAAAACTATTAAATTCTTCTTTTTTTTCCTTGGTTTTTCCCTCTGCTACTTAATTTCTTCCTGCCACCCAACCTTCCCCCCTCTCTTACACTCCCTGCCGGTCCAAATTGGAACTTGAATTTCATTCCGAATGACATTCGCTCCATCACGCGTCAACTGCAGCCCAGCTCTGGCACGTAGCCTCGCGACGGCGACGGCGACGGCTTCGGTCTGGGATCCGGCCAGAGAGCAGAAAAAAAAAGAAAGAAAGAAAAGCGGACATTTTCATTTGAGCATATTTAATTAGATGCAATTATTTATGGTATTAAATAGATGAGGCAGTAAATGTGCTGTACAGCCCTCTTACCAGGCTATCTGGAAAACGGGCGGAAAAAAATGAAGAAAATTGAAATAAAATGCTAAAGAATTGCGTCGTTGTCTGTCGCCAAAGCAGAGCGAAAAAAAAAGCCGAAGTGAAAAGAAAAATATTCAATTCTTGGCTCTCTCAAAAAGGCAGAATTCTGCAGCGAATGCCACGACACCACCCCCTCTTCCAGCCCATTCCAGTGGCAGAGTCCGCACCATTTACCAACCAACCATAACAATGGGAGTCCCCCGACCATCGGCACCGGGACCGGGACGAGGATGGGATGGATGCCCGGACGAAGGAGTGCATTTAAATGGCAGGAAATTTGAAAAAAATTGAAATTTAAGTCTTTGATATATTGAAGCCGATTTATTAGCCGCCCCCTTTATTCGCCCCTCCTCACAGCCCACAGCCACACCCATTGTTAGTCATTTTCCTTTGGTGTTACGAAAAAAATCCCTAAGATACGAGCATCTCCTTCCTCTCCATCCGCTGCTCAATCAATGTCTGACCAAAGCAGAGCCGAACAGAAGCCTCTCATCTGAAAGTTGGTTAAGAGAAAACCCTCGTAGGAGAAAGAGAGGAGAATGTGCTCCCAGGTATCCCAACGATCAAAGCAGTATCGGAATAATAACTATCGTTCCCAACAGAGGATGGTGCAGTCTCTGACCAATGGTAAGTGGTCCAGAACAGAAAAATCAAACCAGTCGAAACGTTTTCTTTTTTGTAGAGGCTCGACATTAAGATAGCTGTTACACAGAAAACTAAGGAAGGCAGAAAGAGGTTCCTTCCATATTATTCAAATACTTATATACAATAATTCAATTAAATATGAGGCTAAAACAGAAATTTTCGATCACTTAGAATAGTCAGCGAACCTTTAGAGGGCACTACTCAGGCAGCTCTTAAGTAGCTCCCATTACTGGGAGAAAGGAAAAGGTTCGGAGGTCCCTCAGCCCCATCAGCACACATAGCCACAAATCCACACCTATGGCATTCAACCCCACCGTTTGACACTTATTGGACTTAATAGCGCGTGACCATGGACAGTCAACCCCTTTCGCACCTTGTCCACGGACACGAACAAGACAAATCACACAAATTGACAAACGTTTAACATAATTTACACAGCAAAGCCGAAACGACTTACACTTGACCACACTTCGCCCAGTCCCCAGTCCCCAGTCTCCACTCCCGTTCGAGCGACTCGTGTCCAATATTGACCCTTTCGCCTGTCCAAAACCCTTGTCAACGTTGCGTATCCGAAACTATTAAAAAGATCAGCCAAACACTTGACTGCCTTCATGGTCAGCATCGGACAGAGGCGGTAAGACATAAATGGGGGAGGAATAAAGTGGGAAAAAATGAAATAAAATTGAAGAGGATGTCCCACCGTTCTAGGGTTTTTGCCATTTTTCACACGCTGCTTCCCAGTCCCGTGTACGGGTCTGGGTTGAACAGGACATATGTTCATGGTCAAATCGATTAAATAAATCATTAGCATCTTTTGTAGCCAGTTTTCTCGCCACATTCTTGCTCCGCGTGTCCTTCTCCGAGTACTTTGTGTGTGTGTGGCCCTTTTGTTACGCGTGTCGCTGCTCTTCTCGTATCATGTGTTGGTGCAAATTGTTTTTTAATACAAGAAAAAGTCTAGCTCCCCCAATATCCTGGCTGTGCTACCAGTGTGAAAGTGAGAACTTTTTTTATTTCTTTTTTTTGTTGGGGTTCCGTTGTAGTTTGACATTTAATTTGTTGCGCTTCTGTGGGGCAGAAACAGTTTCAAAGAAAGAAGGCTAATTTATTAGAGAACACTCGACAAGGAGAGTGAGAAAGTGGAAGTAGAAGGAGAAGAAAAACGGAAGACGCTATAGGAGATAGTGGGAACTCTATGGGGGATCTTGGACAGGCCAAATGTTTGATAGGCTTGGAAGGGCTAAAAGTTTAGTTTTAGGCAATTTCAAATCTAAGGCAATAAAAAAGTACTGCATTCATTTCATTGGTCAGTGTAAAAGAATGTTTCACATACTTTT